AGAGAGAGAGAGAGAATCTGCCGTGTTCAGTGAAGATCACAGCCGTCACAGTGATTCAGGGCTCATAATAGAGATGCAGGTTGAGGAGCAGGGCATTGTGGGAGATCATAAGATTATCCGTCTCTGATGGCCCCCACCCGTTCTCCATCAAAGCCTCGGGGGCCCGTTTGCTGATTCCTGGAGAGGCTTTGATCTCAACTGCATGCGGTTTACAAACCTTACAGAGCTGCAGCGCATCAATCAAATGCCTGTGACCCGCCCACAACACGTCAGCGCCCCCTAACCCTAACCCTCACTTCAGTTCACCAGCAGAAACATTACAAATATTGATTTCAGCATTAATATTTAGTATTTAGTTCATGTCAAAGTTGCATTTTGTTTCCATATGTGATGAAATGATGATGTTTTCAGATTATTGGATTCATTATTGATGTCAAATTTCTGTGACGTTTACCCTGGTAACATATTTTACGTTACAAATGAAAAGCTTGTCTGGTGATGTCAGGCGGCGATGGTTGCTAGGGTGTGACAGGTCTGTGATGTTTTACTCACACACACATTAAATATTCACGTGTTTGACCAGACGCTGAAAGAGCTGAAGGTTGCTGTGCCGGAAACCGGGTCAAAGGGTCAAGCGTAGGTCGCAGGGTCACTCAGTCGCTGCATTAATATGAAACATCAGCATAAATGCTGTGTTTGTGATGGATTATGATGATATTCAGTCAGGTCTGACTATTTCATTCAACAGAATCTCACAGAGTCAGGGATATTTTACTATCATTAGGATAATATAGAATTTTTAATATATTTTTTAATTTAATTTAATTTTTATATTTTCTGATTACATGCTAATTTTAGTTAAAGTTTTAGCAATTTTGTTGTTTGCCATTTGTATTAGTTTAATTATTATCCGCTATTCTATTAGTTTTATTTTTGTTTTGAATAAGTATAGTTTTTATACAGTTTTTATAGTTTTTAAGAATTAGTTATTCATTTATTTAGTTATTTTAGTACATCGAGTTCAACTAAATGAAAATGAGAAATGTTGATTTTGCAACTAGCTGAAATAAAATGTTATTTTTTAATTTAGATTTCAGATAATTATTTTATTTCAGATAATGCTTTTTTATGGATTAGTTTTATTGTTTAGTTAGTTTTACTTTATAATAATTTAAAAAAGAGATATATGATTCCGCATGAAGGAAATTAATTTTAATTTCTGTATTATTTTAACATATCTCTTTTATTCTGAGTTCAGTAATGCAAAACCCCTTCATTTATTATTAAACGTGTCAAGTATCATCATCATATAACTAGATTTAATCCCTTTAACCTATGCTGATTTTAGTAAAATATTAAAATGCTGCACATTAATGCGAATTGGGGGGTGTAATAAATAATGTCACAATGAAAAAAAACTATAAAAGTTCATAAAACTACGCTTAAGTTTTCTTTAAATAGATGAATGTGATTTCTTGTTTTGCCGAGATCGTCCTCGTTATAACTCACGTCACGTGTGTTTGTGGTTTCTGGACGTTCTGTATGATAATCAAGAAACAGTAACAGAGCCGTGAATGAGTTAATGTCATCAAGCTATGAGTGAAGTGCTCATGAATATTTAATATCTGATCAGACGCAGACGAGACGCCAGCTTCAGATGAGTTTCATTCATTTGCACTCGATTAGCCTCCGTCAGTTTCCTCGTTTACTGAATTTTCCTCAAAAATTTCCTCAAAAATGAGACTTGTTTTTTTAGAAAATATGGAACCGGTCATAATTATTTTTATGGACTATAAAACTGTATTTTATTGGGAAAAGGTAATTGCAACTTAATTCTGACTTTTTTCTTGCAATTGTGAGGGTTTTTTATTTTTTTTCTTGAATGAAAGAAAGATCTCAGATCAAGATCTCAGAACTGTGAGATCTAAATATAAACTTGCAATTGCAAGAAAAAAGATTGTGAGATAAAAAGTCACAACTAACTTTTTTGATTTTTTTATTCCGTGGCAGAAAGAAGAAAAAAATCATGATGTAAAAATGTCAGAATTGTGGGATATAAACTCAGAACTGCAAGGGGAAAAAAATCTGAATTGTGCAATAAAAAAATCACAACTAGCGTTTTATTTTGAATTCAATGGCAGAAATTGGCCTGCATAGTATTTTGGATGAATTTGAGTGAAACTCCTCTGATTTGTCCTCATCAGTGTGGAATTATTCAGTAGTTTGTTTGTCATTGTATAGGTGACAGTGATGTTGGACCTAGGCTTTGATTTGATGTGACTCTCGTTCACATTTAAATTGAATTCTTATAAATGCAGTATTTCTTCAGGATTCATCAGTAAAGCGTTCAGCGCTCATAGTTTCTCATTCAGATCTCAGGAGAGATGTTTCAGATATTTCTCCTACAACTAAAAACAGAATCTCTAGTCGTGATCCAGACCCGTGATCTGGAGATCTGAGGTCTCTTTCTCAGGAGGAGCATCTCCTGCTGTCTGTTTGTGTAGGAGAAAGCACTTCAGGAGATCTTCAGGAGGTTTGCGGTGATGGTCGGTGATGAAGCGCTGGTGTTCACGAGTTATTCATCAGCATTAATTGTGCTGCGTCCGTCTCTGTTGACTGATATCCCAGCATGCACTAATGGAGCTGGAACTGAGCGCCAGAATGGACTGCTTCTACTTTCCTAATGCTGCTATTATTATGCATGATTCATCTTCATAATGTTCCAGTCTTACTCTCTCTGTCTCTGAAATAAAACTTTGGATGGTATGGATGGATGGACAGTAATATTAACTAATGTTAGCAATCCACTCTTCACTGTTCATGATTTCGTTGCATTTTATTTTTTCGTTGCATTATTATTTTTTCTATTTATTATTTTTTTAAAGTATATGTCTATATAGTTTTATCAAGTTTAAGTTTTAGTAGATTTTGTTGTAGCTATTTTAGTACTTCAACACACACACACACACGTTAAAAGATCTAAACCATTGTTATTTGAAATTGTAATAATATTTTACAGTTTTTTCTGCATTTTTGATCAAATAAATGCAGTCTTGGTGAACATAAGAGACTTTTTTCAAAACCATAGAAAATCCTACTAAAAAAATATGCTTAGTTTTCTTATCTTTTGTTGACGGTAAACGCTGCTGGGTGCTGTATTGAATGTGTTTTGAATCTCTCGCTGTGTTTTTCTCAGACGAGTCGTCAGGTTTCGGGCCGGTGTTTGAGGAGCAGCCCGTCGACACCATTTACCCTGAAGAGTCTCCAGAGGACAAGATCATCATGAGCTGCAGGACACGAGCAAACCCACCGGCCACATACAGGTCACACACACAC